ACACACATCATTGTAAAATCAATACATTCATCACTTCGTTCAGAATCTAAAAACTAATATTTAAGGTAATACAAGTTTAGGTTACAGTTATAAATTAGATATTATTCACGGTGTTGAATATATCTTTWATGAAGTATGTATTGAAATAATGCAATAAATACAAGCCGTGTAGGTACAGTGACAATGCGACGTAATATGCATGCACCGTATATTTACTAGTTCCGTCACTGACGAAGGTTGAGAAAATAATAAACATCGCTCCAGAATGAGCACAATTGTCGGCCGACCGCTGATTACGAGTAGTGGGCGTGGCWTAAACGCTGCGTGCCTGCGCGTCGCGAAAACACTTAACAGCGCGTTCTCTTGGCCGTTGTATGCGTTTCACTTTTTGTGTAGCGTCCTCTTAATATAGTCGGCATAAATGCGTGGTCAGATTCCACGATAGTATTATCATCATAAGCGTGCGCACGGGGGAGGCAGGGGAGGCGGTTGCCTCCCCTGCGAGATTTTCCTCTACACCAAAATATAATATTATACCTACCAATTGGAGAAAATCGGGTGGGGGGATTGGAGTCTGGACCTCCTTAGCTAAAGTATTGCCTCCCCTGCCAAGAATACCTACGCACGCTTATGATTATCATGGTTGGGTGCCCCGCACGAAGCATTTAAAATTTATGTGCCGAATCGAGTGTACCAAATTCGCACTTTAYTGCCGGATTGTGGATGGAGACATGTTGACTCGGGTCAATAACCCCGCCGACCGCGCATCGCATGGCGTAATGCCGGCTGCCCTACCGCAGCACAAATTATTGTATTAGCACGGCCCACAATATTAGCGCAACCCATCGGAATGGCACGATGCTCGTTCGCCGCTAGGTACCGTTGTGTGACCTGCCCGAACTTCGACCAGTGTCCTGCGCCGCCTATGTTGACGAAACTGAAGTCGAATGGTTTAATAGTTTTTCTAATTACGACCGTATGTTACGAGTAGTGGCGTATATGCGCCGTTTTATTGCCGCCGGTATTCGTAGAGTACGTCGACAACCGGACCACATCGCGTCGCATATTTGCAAAAGTCGGAATTAGATAGCGCCGCTCTCATATTAGAGGATGAGTCCCAGCGCGTACATTTTGCCGTTCTGTTACGCAAATTGTCGATAGGTAAACATGTTTCGTCGAAGCCGCTTGCCCGTTTAGCGCCCTTTATCGACCCGGACGGCGTGATTCGCGTCGATGGACGACTGCGGCATTCTTTATTAGCGTATGATTGTAAGCATCCGGTTTTATTAGCTAAGCCTTCGCATTACGCATATTTATTGTGCTACCGTTGGCACCTGGTGACGTATCATGCCGGCCCGCGAGTTTTACCGCGCTTATTTCACGTCGGTTTTGGATTGTATCGATTCGATCGGTGTTGCATAGTATCAWTACAAACTGTTCGGTATGTGTGAGGTTTGATGCCAAGCGTGTTTAGCCGTTAATGGCAGATATACCCGATACTCGTGTCCAACAAAGACGACATTTTGAGCGCGTCGGCGTCGATTATGCGGGCCCCTTACAAATGCGTGAGACTAGACTACGCAAATCACGCGTTTTCAAAATCTATATTGTGGTCTTCGTTTGTTTCATTACGAAAGCTGTCCATCTGGAAGTAGTGACCGACCTGTCGACCGACGCCTTTCTAGCCGCGTTAAAATTATGACTATAAAACGATATAACAATATAACTATAAAACTAACTATATAACTATAAAACGATCGTTTTATTAATATAACCCTGTCGAGGTTTACCGAGCGACGTGTTTTCAGATTGCGGCACAAATTTCGTCGGTGATGATAAGAAATTACGCGCGCTTATTCATAGCCCGGAAGGCCGGGCCGCTATCGCTTCTTCACGTGCTATTTGTGAGTGGCATTTCAAACCACCTAGTGCCCCCACTTCGGAGGCTTGTGGGAAGCGGCGGTGCGTTTGACGAAGCGGATTTTAATACGAGTCATAGGAACACATATCTTCAGTACGAATAGTTTACGACTATATTAGCGCACGTAGATGAGGCCGTTCTAAACTCACGTCTGCTCACCCACGCATCGGCGGACCCGCACGACCTCGAGTGTTTGACTCCTATAGTCATTTTTTAATAGGTCAACCGCTACTCGCCGTTCCGCCTAGATCGTGTCCAGAATCCGTCCGTAGTTTGTCAGATCGGTGGAAATTAATGGACCASTGCCATCAGTCCTTCTGGAGCCGTTGGTCTTCTGAGTATCTGATTACGCTACAGGAGAGGTCCAAGTGGACCAATGGTGTCCCTAATGTGAAAGTGAATGATATGGTCGTAGTAGTAGACAACCAAAGCGCG